CTTACAAGAGCAGCACTATGGGAAAAACTCAAGTGTACAAGTCGTTTTCTCATTTCAAAAAAAAAGGTGAAATGTCAGTTGATGACAAACCTCATTCTGGACGTCTGTCAACTTCCCAAACGGATGAAAATGTTGACAAAATTCATGCACTTGTGCTCAAAGACAGACAATGGATTATTGAAGAGACGGGGAAATTATCTGGACTACCTTGGAGCTCGGTTCAGTGAATTTTAAAGGAAGATTTGGGAATAAGGAGGGTCACTGTGAAATGTGTGCCTTGGGTCCTGACTGACTAGAAAAAAAGAGCACTGAGTGGAAACATGCCCTACTTTGAAAGAACAGCTCCAAAGCGACCCAGACTTTTTTTCCAAGGTCATTATTGGTGATGAGACATGGTGCTATTCTTACAACCTCGAATGCAAACATCAATCAAGCCACTGGAAGATGCCATCGTCATGTTGCACCCACAAAAGCTTGTCAAGTGAAATCAAAGGTCAAGATGATGCTCATTTGTTTATTTATGTGAAGGGGATAGTGCATCTGGAGTTTGTCCCACCAGGTCAGACTGTTAATCAAACTTTCTATTTAGATGTTCTGAAAAGATACTGTAATGGTGTGTGACAAAACAGACCTGATTTGTGGCAGATGGGAGAATGGTTTTACCCCCATGACAATACACCGGCTCACACAGCCATCTCAGTGCACCAGTTTTTGGCAAAGACCAGCATGCCTGTCTTGCCGCACACACCTAACTCACCTGACCTCGCTCTGTAAGACTTCGTTTTGTTTTCACAAATGCAGAGGGACATGAAAGGACAGCAATTTGATGACTTGGAAGAAGTGAAGGAAAAAAATGAGGGAGGTGCTGTCAGCCATCCAAACAAATGAGTATGAAAAATGGTTACAAGAATGGAATCGTAGATTTGACAAATGTATTAAGTGTAATGGTGAGTAGGTGATAAGGTTGTTTTGAAAAAAATTCCACTGTTGAGGGCTACCCCACATATATAAGGGAATAATGAGGTGAATACATTACATTTGAAAAGTAAATATGTGTAAAGTAGTGTGCTACTTGGGGTGCATAAGAACTATCAAATATGAACAAAGTTATAATCTACTTAGGAAATAAGATAAACAAAGACACACGGGATATTACTTTGAAAATAATATGAGTACATTATGAGGTACAGATATGCTGTAGTGGATTTACGGTGCAGAAAATATAATTCAGATGTGGTAGAATGGCAACCAAAAAATGTGATGTGAGACAGGTATAATAAAATAATTGTATTCCTAGTTATTTCTTATAATTGATTTACTAATATGGGTTCTAAGCCAATGAATGGCAAAGATCATATCTTATACTTCTTTTATACACTTACCAGCAAATAGCACAATAATGGGAATGTGATAATAAATTATGCTTGTGACTCATAAATTCTTAGAAAACTTAACTTCATAGCTGGTTTTAATTAAAATATTCATTATAAAAGATCATTTCAATGTAAAATTCACTTCAACTACAGAAAAGTGATGGCCTATTATACCACAATCATTAATTCACTAAAGGATGTGGTATTCTTAAATTTCCACCCTGATCTAAAAGATCATCTCTTGACTGTGATTAACTGTTCTCCCTAGCTTCCGAGTCTTGACTCCTTCTAATCAATTCTCCATAAATAGCCAGAACCGGCTTCTTTATATGACCATTTCCATGCTTGAAATTCTGCAATGGTTTCCCATTACACTGAGAACAAAAACAAACTAGTTACCCCATGCTTTTAAAATCAATTAACCTGTTTTTTAAACCAATCTCTTTCTCTCTCTCTCTCTCTCTCTCTCTCTCTCTCTCTCTCTCCCCTACAAGCTCACGCATGTGCTCACACACACATACTTACTTGGATAAAACAAATAAGCAATTCTGTTTCATAAAGGACCCATATTTTCAGTGTGAGATTTTTTTAAAACCAAATGAAATAAACACCTAAAATATTAATCTTGAATTGGAAATGTAATTGTACTCCCAATATATTCTCTTCTCTCTCTTAAAAGGGGGGCAGGGATTTAGGATAACAAAATAACTAATAAGGAAAAGTTCTTATTTTTCAAAGAACTACAGCTCATAAGGACAAAAGAAATAATAATAATATTACCACCATTTTGTAAAACCTAATGAGATCAGGGGGCCTGGTGGGACAACTGAGTCGCTAACTGCAAAGGCTGTGGTTCAAACACACCAGTCGATCTGTGGAAGAGAGATGAAGTGATCTGCCCCCTAAAGATTTACAGCCTCAGAAACCCTAGATAGCCTCATTGTGGGTGTGAATCTATATGATGGTAATAGGTGGTGTAATGAGCTAACCAGTTAAAGCAATCACTCATGGCAGCTATAAAAGATTATGTGAAAAACTAATGGGGAATCTTACGCCGACTTTTCCAACACCTGAGTGCACAGAACAATCTTAATATCTCAAAGAAAGCAACAGGGAGACATTCAAGCACTGGGCTGCTAATCCCAAAGTCAGGGGTTCAAACCCACCAACCTCTCCACAGGAGAAAGATAATGCAGTCTGCTCCTTGCAGATTAAATCTCAAAAACCCTTGGGCGCAGTTCTGTTGTTAGGTGCTGTGGAGTGGGCTCTGTGACATCTTCCTAACTTATATTAGAGTTCATTGTCATAGCCCCATGCTACTCCATCTCCTTGAGGGTCTCACTTTTCATTGATGTTCTACTTTACCAAACATACTGTCCTTTTCAAGAGACTAGTTTCTTGAACAGTGGTTCTCAACCTTCCTCATGCGGCAACCCTTTCATACAGTTCCTCATGTTGTGGTGACCCCCAACTATAAAATTATTTTTGTTGCTACTTCATCACTGTCCTTTTGCTACTGTTATGAATCGGGCAACCCCTGTGAAAGGGTAATTGGACTCCCAAACCGCTGTTCTTGAAGGAGCCTTGGTGATGTAATGGGCTATACACTGAACTGCTAGCTACAAGTCAGTGGTTCAAACCCACCACTAGCTCCACAGCAGAAAAGGACACCATCTACTTCTGTAAATACTCAACAATGAAGCTGTCTACGCCTACAAATATTTGTCATGGAAATTTAGTTCAGAGAAAATATGCATATTTAAGAAATATGTTAACCACCACAAATGAGGGTGAAATTAGCAAAATCCAGAACCTGGTGAGAAGGACATAATTAATGACATAGCTCTTGAGCAAATAAATGAAAAGGGAAAAGGAAACAAGGGATTACCAGGCATTTTAAGGAGACTTTTGTTTGGATGCCAACTCTGACAAAAAATAAATGTGAGATAATCAATGACAGCTAATTCTAATTGGACATATACTCATATTAAGAGATTTCTAATTTAAAAAAAACTGGTAATGATATTTACATTATAATTTGGAGGTATTGTTGGTTTGTTGGTTTGATTGTAAAGATTCTGTATCATTTACCCTTAAACCTTTAAGTCTTCATCTTGAGTTGTTTACAAATGAGAGCCCACAATGTCCGGAATTGTCTTTAAAATAATTTAGTACCAAGGAACAATATATGCTAAATGCTAACATTTACTGAAGCTGGATAATGGGTGAATGACACTATACTTTCTACACACATTTCCATACAAGCTTAAAAGTCCATACACACACAAAAAAGGAATGGATATTTTAAAAACATTTTCACAGGATTAGAATTTGTTTTTGTAATCAGGATATATATTTACTGCCATAGACAGCAGCTATAGAAAAGCTCTCTGAAAGACCTATACTTTGATTTTTTTGCTTACCTCCACCAACTTAGAAGCTAAGTACATGGAAATTGTTGTGCTCTTATAAAACATCATTGATATACCAGCCAGAAATCCTGAAAAAAAAAATTACACAAAATCTGATCAGATCTCAAAAGTATTTCCTTGATTTTAAATAATCTATGTCACTTTAAACATGAAGAAATTAATTTTATCATTCTCTCTCATTAAAATAAGTTTAAGCAATATACCTGATAGTGTTAAAATGGGTGAGCTCATATTGTCACATCTTTTTAAATTTAATTGTCCTTCAGCATTAACAAGCACCATTTTTAACATACATAACAAGAAACTTAATATTTTAAGTTAAATTTTAAAAATAGCAGTGGCCTTATAAAGTATAATGATATTTTAAGATAATTTTAAAAGGTTATTGGTATCATTATTTGAAATATTCTCCTAATATCTCAGATTATTTCCAATGCAATCAGCACATTTCTCTGCACAGAACTACCTTCAGCCTGTAAGTAAGTGGAGGGTTAAGAACTACCTTCATTCTGTAAGTGGAGGGTCAAAGGAGGTGGAGACGAGAACATCAAGAGTAGCTATCTCCCCAGTGGCAAAAATGGAATTAAAAATATATATAACTAAACTTTTATTAATCATTTACATAATGAAAGTCTCCATGTCCTTTCGCGACACACTCCCTCAGTCTTCTGGCCTGTGGCGGGTCGGTCAGCTAACCTATTCATTGTACTGTCAACTCAGTGCAAGAGAGGACGAGTGCCTGATATGTGAAACTTCGCAGACACCGATGTTTGGACCAAGGTCTCGATAAGCATTTTATTAGCAAGAAAGGAAAATATGTAGATATTAGATGAATTCGAAAAATAGTTACCAGTTATTCCTACAAATCACTGATACAATAATAATTATCATTCTTTTTAAAGATAATTTATTTACCAGCTATGATAGCATGCAGTTCATCATCCAGATTTCTGACCCAGCGCAGGAAGCAACTAGTACCCTGTATTAAAAAAGGAAACACAATGACTTCACTTGTTTCATATCTACCAAATAATTCATGAGAACAAAAACACCTGCAGTGCTCTCGTTACAGTGCTCCACAGCTAACTTTAGAGGGAAATTGGTGAGTAATTTTATCTAACCCAAACTGAACACACAGTTTGGAAAATTATTTATCTAGTTAAACTCTGTTAAGAAATCAAACCTAGGAAATTCTGGGAAGATGGTAGTGTATGCAAACCAGCATCGTGAACCAATCCCCCAAATAAACATAAATATCATAAGGAAATGATGCTCCACTTTGAAGGCCTAGAAATGGGAAAAACAGCAGGTATCTGCAAAATCAACCATTGAAAAAAGATCCAAAGTAACAGACTAGGCAGATCACTATCCAGATCCTCTACAGTCTACACACGGCTCTAAGAAATCAAGTTCAGTGAATATGAATAACAATCCTAGAACACAGTCCCATAAAGGAAAGAAAAAGTGAATGAAATACCAGTGAGAAGAAGAGACTGAATAAAAGCTGCGAGCAGGGGGCAGTGAAACAACGTTGCCAATTTGAATTACTGAAGGAACCAGGTACCTGGCTCTGCCTGCCCTGGACTGCACCAGCTCCCACATCAGTGGGGCAAACAGTGTGTGTGGCTTCTCTACTTCCCTTGGTGACCAGAGCCATGCTTGTTCTCTCACCGCCACCCACTTGGCAGCCGGTCAAACTACCACCCCGCCCACGCTGCCAAGGCTGCACCTATTCCTTTTCCTTTCTCTTTATGGTTCTGCTCTTCTCCCCTTCTTCTTTTGTTTTCCTTTCCTTTCCCCCACCCCCTTTCTCTTCTCTGGTCCTTTTACCCTTTTTCTTTTGACCCCAGCAGGCTGGGCACACCACTCCCTCATTGCCAGTGCAGTTGGCGACACCTCCACCCACCATTCCCAGTCAGAGGTGCGGTCTGCAGAAGGAGGGCTACACTCCCACCAGCCGTGCGTGCTTGGAGGCTAGCACCTGTGCCGCTACCATGCTTTGCTCCTTTTTCATTCATTTTCCTTTCTTAGATCTTCCCTCTTTCCATCCCTCCTTTATTTTTTCTTCTTTTTCTTACCTTCTTTGCCCCCCACCTCGTTCTTTATCCCATGAAGTGAGTACCCACCCTCCCCATGGTACAGTCAGCAGCACCCACCTACACCCGTCCAGGAGCTCTGTGTTCCCACTGCAGCTGTACTTGGCACCCGACAGGTGTACCGTTCGTTTTTCTTTATGTCCCGCTTTTACTTCTCAGTTCATCCCCCCTTTTGGCTTCTCGCTGCTCCTTCCTTATTTTGAGATCCGCCTGCTGCTGACAGGTGCCCTTGACCTCACTCCCTCTATGTTCAGCAGCGCCTTCCTCCAACCCTCCTCCGCATAAGGTGGTGCACACTCCCATGAAGCGGGCACCACATTTTGGCTGGAACCATGATGGGTGGCTAAGTGTGTGCGAGTGTTGTGCCACATTGTTTTTCTTTTCTTTCTTCTTAGGTCTCCCCCTTCCTCCAGTTATTTTTTACTTTTTATTTCCTCCCATTCTCTTATCTTAATAACCCCCATAGGACTAAGCACTGTCTCTGAGTTCTGTGTGGTCACTGCAGTGAATCTCTGAACCCAGCCAAGTAGAGTGCCTTGGGAGGGAGGGAGGGTTGGGGTCAGCATTGGTAAAGGCAGCTGGGGAATAGACACATGTCTGGATTCTCCTTCCCTCTGTGAAGTCAGAGGTAGCCGGAGACAACCCATACCACCCATTTTTGCAATATAGAAGCCACTACATATTTTTTAAAAGGTATGACTAATAATCAAATTCTAGAAATAAAATACAGTAATGGAAAATACTCAACCCAAAATAGAAAAAGCAAAGAAAAACATGGAACAGAAAACAGCAAAAAGATAAATGCAAATCCTACCATATTACAAGTACATGAAATAAAAATTGTCTAAACATGCCAATCAAAAGGCAGACATTTTCAAATTGGATAAGGACGGAATCAATCAAAATAAAACTGGAGTAACTATATATCCGTCATCGTGAAACATTACAAAAGAAAAAGGGTTCAATTCACCAAGAAGGCACAGAAGAATTAGGGTTTACTTGCCTGCCCCTCTTTCAATTACATTCTCCCTAAGATGCTAATAGCATGGTTAAGCCTCCTTGATGGCGCAAAATGAGTTTGAACTTGACTGTTGACCTAAAAGTTCAAACTTTAACAGCAGAAAATCTGAACAGGATGCTACAAAAGAAACTGTCTGGCAATCTGCTTCCATTAAGATTACAGCCAAGAAAACCCTATAGAATAGTTTTATTCAGTAACATGCATGAAGTCACCAAGGGTTGACTTGATTAGGCAACCAATAACAATGGCATGCACAGTTTTAATTTCTGAAACACATATGAGTGGCTTTAAATAAGGGAATTTCTACCCTAGTTGTGTTTTCCTGAGTTCAACACCATTTGTATTATATCTAAGCAAATAAATAGCCTTTGAAATGAGGAAAAACAAAAATACAAAAAAACCCCGAAAAACCTCTGATATGTACTGAATGGTGAATATAAAACCTGGGATTAAAATGCCAGAAATCCATATGCAAACATTTATGTTATAAATACCGGAAAATTCCCATTTTTCTGAGTAAAACAATCAAATGTCTTTCAGAATTTTAAATACTATTATAAATGCTAATTATCCTTACATATTCAAGATCAATTAACATCTTAAGTGAAGAAATTTGTCCAAACTCAATTTTCAATTTTGGGCATATTTGATAATGTAAAGGTGTTTATGAATATTATACAAATTAGTGTTTAAAATTTAATACACATATAAGCCATCATCCTATTTTAACAACAGCCATGGTATGCAGTCCCTTTTCCCGTTCTTCTGAAAACCTACCTTGTATATGCTAACGAAAGAGCCAAGAAAAGCCCCAAGCTGGAAGTTTTCCTTATTATAGAAGAGAGAAAATAGCCGAGACGGCTGTGTGAACAGCTGCCTCAATGCAGACGGGATCCGCAGGCAGCACTGGATCAAGTACCCCACGCTAAACATTCTGATGAAACCCTAGAGGAAATAGCAGGAAAATAATAAGCCACCAAATTTTGAAGTATAATAGCATATGAGTCTTATCATCTCAAAATCAAAACAATACTCACAAAAACTAATACAAGTTTATGTTACAGGTATTTTCAAAATTAAGTCTTAAAACCTCAAGCAATAATTTTAAAACAATTACCTTAAAAATAAGGGTGAGATCTTGGCGAGAGTACACTTTCTTTGACTTACAAAGACTTAAAAAGTCTCACCAGCATGGACCAAGCTTGCCTATGTACCAAAATTCCATTTCTTGACATTTTGTTGACAATACTCGGGATTTTTAATTCCTAAACCACAAATGAGTTTTAGAAACAAAAGCATTGAAATTCAAAAAAGAAAAGCAGTTAACAAAACCAAATGCTTTTGGAAATTTTGACAGAAAACTGATCTTAATTATTAGTATGAGTTAGGGATGCTGTTGACAGAGAAATAATTTTATTATCTGTTTGGTACCAGTGTTGGAAAAAAATGATAAGATTAAAAGAATTTCCCAGAAAAATAAACGTAATATCTGGTTTTAATTTTTGTCCTGCATGGTGTATACTAAAAAAAATCGTCATGGAATGATAGCTTTAAGGTAAACTAACAAAACTTGAGAGAGAAAATCCACTACTAATCCAAATTTGCTGCCAACATTTCCCAGATTTCCTGCAACTGTTTACAGTAGAAAAAGGAACTATCTGAGGGAGAAAACTGTTGGCCAAGTTCATTTCATTATTTATGAAAATAAACTTCGGATGTTACTTAATACGTAAAAACTGAAAACGCCAATTAGCACAAAACCAATGCTAAAAGAATAAAAATTTATACGTAATTCAACCAATACATTGTGACAGGGGTCCCCCGCCTTCTCTGAGGAATGAGGAAGTGCGTATACACTCAGTGCTTGCCTACTAAGTCCTAAAAGTCAGGTTTGTATTTCCAGAGAGGAGCGCTCTGAAAACATATGCATGCTCGCACGAACTCAAAACCAATTATTAGGAAGCACTATTCATTAGTTTATCTGAATTTTCCTTAATATTTAGCTAAAATACAGAAATGAAATTGTCTCATCAACAAAGGAGCTTGTCATTGGATTGAGCTTGTCATCGGCTTGCTAGCTGCTACGTTGGAGGTTCAAACTCACCAGCCACTCTGCAGGAGAAAGAGGAGGCTGTCTGCATCGATAAAACTTATAAAGCCTTTGAAACCCTCTCCAGAGTCACTAAGCATTCAGAGTTGACTTCATGTTCGTAAGTTTGGTTTCTTTGGTAGTCAATTATTGGGAACTACCATGCATTTGCTTAACTTGAACTGTCCAGAATTTGTTTAAAACGGAAAATGTTTAAAACACTTGTTTAAAACGCTTACAATACCATCAATAACCTTAAAATGTTAGTTCAGAGATTCAAGGTTTACACATTTTAAAATATTTTCACACTGTTTTCTATTCACTCCTCCATCCAATTACCCTTTCATGTGTTCAGGACATATTTCCTAGCTGTTCGTCATGTACCTGGCATTACATTAGATGTTGAGGATAGAAAAAGGAAATGACTACTTTCATGTATTCCTGCAAGAAATAATTAAAATAGAACATCAGCCTGCACAATAATTACAGATGGCACTCAATGTCGTGAAGGCAGCCGTGAGCGTGAAGAGAGCCAAGATCGGGCTGAGGTGAGTGCATTTACTATGGAAGGAAGGCCAGTGTGACATTTCAGCAGGCCTTCACAGAGGAGGAGGAGGAGGAGAAGGAGGAACAGAAAACTGATGCTCTGTTCTGCAAACCTTTGTCTACTTCATAATTTAAAAAGGAGAAGGGGTCACAAGGATTCCAGACAGCTTGGACAGGCACAAAGCACAAAGCAAAAATAAAAAACCCAAACCAGGTTGGCAGGTATTGGAACGAACAGAAAGTTACTGTGAATAGAGTATAATGGGCTGAGGGGAATGCATTTACTATGGATATTTACCCAGGGTTATGACTTAGCATGTGGTGTAACTCAGTCCATGGAATAAAGAGCTGCACTCTAAACTTTGACTCTTTTTTTGTGATGTGAATTACTCACCACAGGCCTCCAAATATTATCCTGAGCTAATATTCCAATATTATCCTGAATTACTTAGTTTAATATTATTACATACTTGAAAACATCAGATTTTTCATTCCTCAGTAATTCTAGCTTTCCTATATGCTTTTATTTTAATATCACCTACTCAAAAAAGAAATTCTTGAATACCTCTGATTTAATCAGACAGCTTCTCTTCATTCCCTCATGAATCATGTTCAGCTGGGGGGAATACTGACTCTCCAGGAGCCAGCGGACTCTGAAGCTGCCAGCAATGTTGCTGTTCTCCCACCATTTTAAAAGTAGTCAGGGAATGAGATTTGGAGGGAGTGTATCAGAAATCAGTGCACAACTGAAAAAATACTTTACCTCTTTTATCTTGGTCAGATCTTTGGGGATTCTGAGAGTGTGTGCTATCTTTGGTAGATGTCACCATCAGCTTTTGGTCTGAAGTACTTAAATTTATATCCACTGGCATGATAAACAATCCAACCTTTCTAGAGTGACTTGGGGTGCTGACCAACTCTGCTCTTTTCATCAGCCGAATGGGGGTCAGATTTGCAAAAAAGACTGAAAACATTTTAAAGGCATCAGAACACTGCCATCAGCCAGACTACCTGTAATGAAAATAATGTCCTCCTAGAATTTGTAGCAGTGTGTTGTGTATTGGGGGTGGAGGGACAGGGGGCGGTTCAAGTAGGTAGAGACAATCAGCTAGTTAGTAATATTAGGAAGTGGAACATAACTAACTTTCTCAATGTAGAGTAACTGTGACAAGCTCTACTAACCTCAAAACCCTAAAAAACCTAACAGCTTTACAAGTTACACAAAATATGCCATTGTTATCAAATTGTGCTCAGTGTACTGCTGTTCCAATCGGTTTGCTGTATCTACTTGAGTATAAGCTGAGTTTTTCCAGCACTTTTTTAATGCAGTTTTTTGTGGTAAAATTAGGTGCCTCAACTGATATTCGGGCTGGCTTATACTTGAGTATATATGGTAAATGTTCTAACCAGAAGAGAGGTGGGGAGGACACCTATTCAGAGGACATTGAATAAAAAAGACCAGAGAAGAATCAATGTATTTGGATTATTGTATAGGCAATGGCTAATCAAAGTCCCACAGACTGGCCAAAAGAACAAACCAATCAGGAGCATGGTTCTAAGGTAGAGTTCTAATACAAATGCATCACCAAGGGCACACTGTAATGGCTATGCTTCTGTCGTGTGTGTAACTACCTATCTTTTCCTATCTCAAAATGTTCACTAATTTTTAAATAAACTAATTTTAAAATCACTTCATCAGGGATCTGACAACTGAATATTAAAAGCTAAATTGTTACCTGCTTCTCCTAAGATTTTTGTTAAGTCAAAAAGAGTGGTAGCAATTGTTAATGGCAACTTTTCCACCTATCTGAATATCTAAGTTATTTCTCTTTACATTATCTCTAAACAGACTCTAAACACAGTCTCCAACGTTTAGGGGGTGGCTACTTTAAGATACTTACTTTAATGCAGTAAGAGATGCAATTATCTTCATAGTGTTTGCAGCATCTATGCCTTGGTCCATGCTTGCATCTGAAAATAAACCAAGAAAAACAAAGACAAACCTAAACTAATTATAAATAAAGAGTGAATGAGAATCAGTTTTAAATGTTCTCAGCAGAAAAGGAGAATATATCACCGATTCATTGGATATTGAATAGAGAAGATGAAAGAAGAATCAACATACTTAAATGACAGTGCTAGTGAAGAACATTGTAGTAACATGGATTGCCCAAAAAACAAACTGTATTCTAGGAAGAAACACAGTCAGAATAATCCTTAGAGGCCACGATGCTAAAACTCCATCTCATATACTTTTGACTTGTCTGTTAGGAGCGACCAGTCCCTTGGTAAAGTAGCGGGGCAGTCAAAATGAGGAAGCCCTTCAACAAGAGGGACTACACTAGTGGGCTTAAACGTAAGAACAACTGCGAGGATGGCACAAGATCGGGCGGTGTTTTGTTCTGTTTACATGGGGCCACTATGAGTCAGAACGAATTCGATGGGGTCTCACAACATTTCTAAATGTGGTCATCTTTTGGTTTCTTAAGACACACAACGGTGAAAATGACAGAGTTTTATTTCACCTTTGTTGCTAACCATCTAACACACAGTAGAAAGTATATGAAAGCAGTCAAAATACTTGAATGTGGAGTGAACAAAAATGAGATCAGTAAATATTTGTGACTAAATCCTCAAAATATGTATATTATCTTAATGCTCAGCCAATTTTTGGGAAGTTTTCAATTCCTTGTTATAGAGTGTAACAGACATAAATCATGCATGAAGTTAGTACTTGAACAAAAAAAAAATCATTATGAGAATGTTCTCAGGAATTCCTGTAGGAATTCATGCTTAATTATATTTGAGAGAAAACATATGGAAAAGAAACATGATATACTACTAAAATTCAAAATTCAATTTTAAAAAATATACAAATAGATCATTTAAAATTCAGAAGTAGGTTATTTGTTGTTTGAATGTAAACTACTTAAACCTCCAGTGTCCAATAAACATTTGTTAGGAGGACTACTGTTCAAGACATACTAATTTTAATTATTGAGTAGGATGATGTTAGGATTATTTAGTCAACCTATGGATAAATTTTTCTTTAAGTTATATAGGACAATCTTACATGAATTTTGTTCTTCCGTTCACTCTTTGAAGGATCCAGGCTCTAAAATAAGCAGTCTTTATAACCTCTTTTCAGACTTCAATATTTTTCCTAGTTGGAACTCATGAACTCTTTCCCATTATAACAGTAATGGGGAAATAGAGCAATGTCTGGCTCTAGACTTCTCTAATTCTATTGGCAAACTGATTATAAAGACCTTCCTCCCAGTCCAATGAATTCTTCACTGCTGAACTGTACAGAATACCGTTCCTAGTCAAGGGTGATAGCAACAGTCTGTACCCATCACAGACCCTTGATGGCCTTGCCACCAGGATGATATGACAAACACTGTCATGTTGAGCTGCTGAGTGATTGAGGTCAAGGACCTGCAAAGAGGATTGCCTGATGCAAATGACAGCTCTTCAAGCTTCTACGTTTCTGCTCTAAAGATATTTCTCAGCCATTGTTATCAAAATTAGAGAAACAACTAAACATTCCAATTCTACTTGCCAGGGAAGTGAAATGATTTTACCAACTGTACTAATGGGAGATTTAATCTTTCCTTATTCTCTCATTAAAATGGCTTCCCTAATAAAGGAAAGAACTAGGAGACAAAGGGTATGTACAGAGGTTTTAAGACTGGAATGTACATATGTAAATATATTTATATAAGAG